CTATAAGAACATTTATGGCGCTAACAAAAACTTAATTTACGTGTACCATATACGGAATTTTCATTATTAACAAGGTTATGGAGCCGTTATGACATTGGCGTATAGAATGTGACAATTGCTATACGAATTTTGTTCATACACATTTAATCACAAACCACATCACTGTTTGATATATAATATATAACATAAATATATATGTAATGTAAAGAATGGTGCACATAAAGACCCCAAATAAAGACATGGACAGTCTTTTTAGTAATAGTTTTTTTGTTAGAAACATTTTTTTGACGTTTATGTCACGTAATGCTTCAATTTAATGCTCACAATAATACAGATAACATAAAAGTTTTATAAAAAAAAAATATAATAATACATATCTCAGTATCACGTATGTTCAATTTTTGTATGTTTATATTAATTTAATTATATAACTAGTCCTGTGGTATTTTATAGTGACTACAAAGTTCGGATTTCTACGTTTTCGGTCCCTGTGATAGGCGTAATGTTGTACTTACACATTTTGAAAAATTTATCGATATTTTTTGGATCTGAAATAGGGATGGTCGTTGCTGTAAAAACGTCGATATATCGTTTACAAAATAACAATTAAAAATTATCATTTTATAGGTAAAAATTTATGAAAAGTTAAAGTTAACAACGTTAACGATTTTGGAATTTTTGTGCAAATGTGTTGCATAATTTTGCAACATATTTCTTTAAGAAATTAAAAAAAATTAAAGCTAAAAATGTCATTTTGTCAATTTAAACAAACATGGCTATGTTATTAAAGTTATTTGATTGGGCATTGCACTTTTTACATATCGATTTTAGTAAACTTGCATCGATAGTAGTATCGATATAATGTATCGATCATCCCTAAGCTAAAATTGCATTTAATAAGATTGTTTATGTTATTAACAATAAAGTTATATTTCGTTTGGCATAGAGAATAAGACTATCAAAATTGCTTAATCTATATATGTAACTGTAACACTATCGTTGATTCGCTTCCGAGTTTTTTTTAATCGACATTATATTTATATGAGTTAAAAATGTTGAATATATGAGCACATTATCATTCAATTTTATAAGTTTTTAATTTCAAATTATTTAAATATTAGTTTTATTTGTGTTGATCGATATTGTTTTTTTTTAACTTTGTATGAGTAGATGTTGGATGAGTTTTGCTTTGGCGGTTTACAAAATGACGGTTGATGCGCGATTTGTATACGCTCTTGGGAATGCTTTGAACGGGCTTAAGGTTGTTTTTATTCAGGGACAGGGGAAATGTTACGTAAAATTCAAAAATAAGCTTAAAGAAATTTAAGGAATAATGATTTTAATGTGAAATCAAAAGTAAACAAAACTCAGATAGGAAATTCATTTTTTAAGAAAGGAAAGACGCAAATATTTTTTCCAGTCAACTTTAAAGACAAGAAAACATCCTAAACAGTACACAACATAGTGAAAACAGTAATATTAGAAATAATTATAATTTTTTGAAGGAGATTTGGTATATAATTTGGTAATTGTAACGCTCGGACTACGTAACGGTTTTTTAAGCTATGCACGGTTTTTTTTTAATTACCAGAAAAAATATTAATTAATGTAGAATATAGATAATATCTTAAACATAAGTTTTTTAAATAACAGATTAAAATTTTATAAAAAAAATCTTTAAAAATATTGGCCACAATATTTTTTACAAAGAAAATACTACGAGTCATATTGTTGAATGAAATGGCTTGGCTGAAACATAAATTTGCGTAAAACATTTTTTTTTCGATTTTGATGTGCATATTTTTTTGTGTAAAATCAATATCGTAAACAGTTTACGATATGTTTTTTTCTGGTAATTAAATGATGACGGTATATTTTATATAATGAAATATGTATTAAGTATATAACTCTAAAACAATACTGTGAATCTAAAGGAATTGATTTTCATAATATTAAAAAGTATTTATGTAAAAATATTTATCTATGTATTATAAATATGTATTTAAGTATTGAGCCTTCTTAGGAAATAAACAATGTAAGAGATACGAACATTTCAAATTGCCTTATAATTTACTTATCTTCTTCAGTACTTCAATCTTTATCAGTACTAAAGTGTTTTTAAAATGAAAAAAGCTAATAAATTGCTTACATTACCGATAGTATATAAATCAATTTAAGAAAATCTCAATTACTAGTGTTTTATAAAATACTAGCAGTTGCACGCGAATTCGTCTGCTCTGAATTAAAATAAAAATTGGTATAAAATATGTGTGCAACTTCAAATATTTCTTAAAAGGCTCGATATTATCATTGGCACTTATTTCTCAATACAATAAAACAAATTAAATATGTAAAATCCGTGCACAATAATATGGCTATAGTTTGGTATTACGTCGCTTCACACTCTTCACCCGTGGCATCGGTATGACGTCATCGCACTCGCATCACGTATTATTGTGCATTTTAAGATACACGTCCATTAGCCCGTGACCTACGGATTAAATGAATTTTAGCTTTGTCTAGCGATGCGGGCGGCGCGGATGATGGACGCGTACCTTTAATCAAACTCAGGGGCCCTAACGTAGTATATGTTAGTATAAGCATATGTTGCAAACAGCATTATCGAAGTCAGTGCCATATGTATGTTTTATTTCTAATAGTATATCTTTCATCTAGTTGCTCAAAACATATGTATGTTAAAACATGTTCGAAATGTCGCATCGTAATAATATACAGGACCATTTTGGGCTTCCCGAAATTGATTGATCAATTATATAAGAATTTTATAATAAAACAGTGTGAAATTTTACAAATAATTATTACTGTAAGTAAATATTTATATGAAAAGCAATAATTGAAAATCAGTGTCTTAAAAGCTCCTTAATTTTAATGTGAATTATGTATAGTGCCAAATTTTGTTCAGCTTGTATTATGAATACGGGAATATAATTTTTAATATAGTGTACAAATAACCTCGATTGAAGCTTGTTTTGCAAAGGTTGTGTATACTATATATTGCTTATGTATCACATATATACAACAATAATTCTTGCTTAAAGCGATGTACACTTGTAGTTGTGTACCACGTATGCGTAAGCTTGTGTGCGTAAGCAACGTTAGCCAATCAGAGCACAGAATGATGCGCAAGCGCACGTATACGTTACAAGTGTGCTTTGTACGCCTTAATTTATTGTCAGTAATTTAATATATATTTCTCATAAATAGTGATTGAAAAGTACAAAATGTAGTTGTGAGGGTACATACAATTTCACACGGCTAATAAATGTGTCGTATATCAATATTCCCTGCTTGTTGAACAGTGACCTCACTCAGGATCTTTTAATTGCAGTTAAATCCTTTAGTGTACATTAAGTATGTACATTATGTGATTTAAGTAAAATTTAAGACTCTTTGAACAGTGTCGACTCGAAGACACTTTTTATCGGTTCGCTGGATCTGGAATAGGGCGGTGCGACTCGGCGTCAGGCCACAGACACATGTGATATAGACGTGTCTAGAATAGGGATGCACTATTATTTAAACTTCGTTTATAATCTAATAAATAATCGTAAATATAAACTTACATTTTCTAACTGGATTTCTTGTTTATATTAGATATGTTTCATGTTATTAAAATTGTAACATAATTTGATATAATATAAATTTAAAAGACAGAGTAAATCATTATTTAGCGCATCCCTAGGCTGGAGCCCCGTGGTGCTAAAGAAAGCAGGCCTCCGACGTATTGTTGTTACTCGTGGTTCTTGTTAAAGATATAAGCGATGTTTATTAATGCTATAAAAACTGTTTACATTCCTCCAACAAGAGCTATGTTGAGTTTTGTTTAATTTAGTTTTAATATTTGACTCTCACGTTCGACTCTGTCGCTTGACCAGTTATCGCTTTTAGTTTTTTTTTATTAAGTTTTAGGTTTATAATCTGTCCGTTCATTTGTACGCCGACTTACGAATTACATATTAACGTACTTAAGTGTTTAACTCAGAATTCATTGTCGTTGTTGTACGCTTATTTTTGAGATGCATTTTATTTTAAATTATATTTTGATAGGGCAGCTATTGCATTCGTTCCATTCCATTGTACATCGATTGATTCATTTTTGTTATGCTTTCAACGAAAAATATGTATTTGTTTTAATTGCCAAAGAAATTTTGGATTTTTTTTATAATTGATAACCTGTTTGCTTATACTGCGAAAATTATATTTATAATATTTTCATTATTATTATTTTGTTTGATTATTATAAATCTGGTTAACGCATAATTATTAACAAATAGCGACATTTTTGTGAAGTATTTTTTTTAATCTGCTTTAATCGCCGCGTTAGAAATACTTCCAAATTGTCGTGAACGTTTTTATGAGCGATGTTTAATCCTCAATTATATATAAATTATTTATTTTAATTATGTATTTACCCCTCACTTCAAACGGTTTGTCATTTTTTTTAATATAAGTAAGTTCCTAAGGTTCAGATTTGTAAGCGAAAAAAAACTATCGATAATTGTCTATGGCCGTATCGTTCAGTATATTTTTGTCTCTTGCATACTCTGTATTGTGTTTGATTGTTAACTCAGTGAGGAATTTTTGTGCAGTCATCCAGTACTAACACCACGTGCCTTAGCTACTCTGCCCATCCCATATCAACTAGGCAAACTATGTTATATGTAATCGTTAGTTATTGTAATGTACATATGTTTTCAAATAAAACCAATATTTTATGGATTTTTTTAAGGATTTTGTATATTGTAAAGATTATTATTAATTTTATCATAAAATTAATGCCTTAGCTAATAAGAGCTACATTTGTGAGAAATAAATAACATTTTAAAAATCTCATTGTTTTATTTTAACGTATTTCATTAAACATTTTTTATTAATTAATAAATAATGGATTAATATTTTACAAACTACGACTTAAATCTATTTTAATTTGAATAAGGAATAAAAGTTTATATTTTTTAAAACATTCCAACACAAGCCATTACCTTTTATTAAATAACAAAAGGGAAAGAGAACAGAAATCTAATCGGCAGTTGTAGATCTATCCAAAAACTGCAAGAATTGCGAATGATTACATAACGTCACAAGAGTTGTGTTATAGCAAATAAAGTAGTAAAGCTCGATACACATCTCCCGCTATTTGTTCTTATGTTAGAAGAGTCCGACAGCTTTCTTCATCTCCCTCTGCTTCCAGCTGGGCAGCACACGAAAATCGCTGTACGCCATGTTGAATGTCGACACGAAATCATCGTGCGTCAAATACAGCTGCAATTAGAATAATTTAAATAATTTTTTTTATAAGAAAATGCATTTTTCTACACTGCTTGCCAATTTTAGGTTACTTTTATCCGAGGAAGTATTAGACACGCTAAAGTTGCTAACTCCAACCACATCTGAAAGTTCAGCGCTCAGAGTTACTAAAGTTAGTGAATAATAAACGATTTTGGGTGCAGACCTCTTTAGTGAGAGGGTTGACGTCAGGAGGCAGATGTTCCTTGGGTCCGCGCAGCAGCGCCGGCGGGTACTTCTCATGCAGGTCGAATTGGTTGGCGCTGTTGCCGCTCCGCACCGCGCTGTTGCCGCCCTGCACGATCGCCTTGCCTTCCAACGCGCTCATTATCGCACCAAAACTCTTGTGGCTCTAGAATACATCGAAATGTAAATCAATTGATGGAAATTGAATGTCATCATGTCATGACCAAATCCAAGAATCTTCAAAGGAATTTCTTACCTTCCACATGGTATGTTTCCAGTGTGGGAAGAAGCCAGTGAAGTTTGGTGGCTCCCGGCCCTGGCTCAGAACAATGATCGGCGTCTCCGGATCTCGTGCCGCGGGATCTAGTGGATGTTAGATTAATTTAGGTCGTTAGTTTTATTTGATTAATTAGTACATTTAATGGAGATAGCCTCATTTAAGGGTGTACCATGTGCGAGGTATGTGGCGGCGATGTTGCGAGCGTCGTCCTTGGCACGCGGGCAGCAGAGCGCGCCCAGCCACACGAACACGCTCGTGTGCGCGTCCAGCACTGCCGCGATCTCCGGCGCAAGCTCGTACTGATTCACGGAGATTATCTCCTCAACTGGAACATATTGCAGTAGATACTATCTGAGCGAATGAATGACTTAAAAAGAACCACGAAACAAAGTGCAATATTTTATTTTATATACTTACAAGAATACTGTCCGGGTGGCCCGAAAGACACGTAGAATAGCCGCGGGGGCAGCGGGCGCTCCACTTCCTTGAGCGGAGTCGCGACCAGCAAATGTCGCCGGTCACCTAATGCCGTCCAGAAGTCGCTTTTCTCTTTACCTGCACGATAATAAGAATGTTTATAACTTATCCTATATCGGTACAAATAAAATTTTCTAAACATTATGTACGTACCTTGCATGACGAGGGTGTGTTCGGCGGCGGCCATATTCTTGGCGACCTCGCGCTCATCACCGGTGGCGCAGGCGGCGCACCACACCCAGACCCGCGCGCCCTCGCGCACCACGTAGCACGCCCCGCGCGCCTCGCCAGCTGACGTCCCGCCTGCCCCACACCGCACCTCCTCGCCCCGGGCCTCCCGCGCGTACTGACCGGACACGCGGATCATAGCGCGCACTGGCGCCACCACACGTCTGCCGCTTGCTACATAACAAAACACACTTTTAGACATTATCAAAAGTATTCCAAATAATTTTTTAGAGCTAATTAGCTCACACGGAGTGATAGTTGCACACATGAACAATGAGATTCTAGAATCCGCCTATAGCATGAAGCAATAGGAGTAGATATAAGGTTGTCGGTATTAATAAATGATAAATCTTACGATCATAATCTGTGGCACTGCCAACATACGTGGTCATCCTTCCTTTGAATATTTGCAGAAAATGCGCCGGTTCCTTGCCTTGGTACACCCAAGCCTGGAATCGTAACATAAGATTTAATTTACTGCTACATTTACATATTTAAACCACTACAATATAGGATATAATACTATTAGCCTACCTGGACTGGAAGACGACCTAATTTAACGTACAGATCTTTGGCTTCTTTTGCTCCCAAATCCCTCAGTTCATTTGGTGAAGAGCCACCCTGGAAATGGTGAAAATTGTTTAGTTTTTTTTACATCAAAAAAACACTGCGTCTACCTGTAGCAATTTTACACATACCATCCAGTAGTAAAGCACAGATTGTTCGCCTGTAGGCGCGTGGTATGTATAGAGCGCGATGTAGCAGTCCTGGTCGTAAAAGACGGCGTGCTGTGGGCGCTCCACCTCGGCCAGCGCGGCCGCGGGTACAGCCGGCTCGTCGGCGCGCTGCACCCGCCACATGCGCAGCGACCCCGACCCGTCGTCAGGAACCTGCGCCTGTATACAATACACAGTACCGAGTCGTTTACAGCCTCTACTAATCTTTGGAAGGAACAGCGTCATATTTTATATATGGTACATTAAAGGATTACCTCAGCTGCAAGCCAGGCATTAGTAGCTAGGCTGACCGCATCCAGCTTAGTGGTGGCGGAGCGTGCAGCGCGGAGCCGAACGTCTCGGCGCGCATCGCACCAGCGCCAGCGGTGAAACAGTGCCGCGAACTCCAATGGCTCGCGGCCTGCGGCACAGCAGCTTACTGGGCCGCAGTAACGACGCGCGCGCGCCAATCCCCGCGCCGCCGCCAGCGCGCCGCGCGCTGCAGCACCCCCCGCACCAGAGCCCACCCACGCCCACACGCCTCGGTTGCCAGCGTCCACCACGTAAATTCCCTGAAGATTGGTTGGGAGTATACTCATCACATTAACCTTTTGTAGAAATAGGACCCACGGCTATAAATATTACATGAGTTGCAGGTTTTATGTCTCCTGCTCTAGAACTTACATCATCAGTTAAGTCTTCTCTATACAAGGGCGCGCGCTTTACTTCCTCAAGTCGCGCAGCGGGCCGCTGCGAGGGCAAGGTGAGGGCGGCGTGAGGCATGCGGGGCTGGGCTGCGCGGTACAGACGCGCCGGGCGTGGGGGCTCCGGCGCCGGCGCGGTTCGGACCACGCGCGTCCTCGGCTCGAGCAGGCCGGCGAGCAATGTTCTCTCTGTCACCGGAAGCGTCTGCTCGTAGCCATCATGCGCAATCACGATTCGTCGAGTTGTAGATCCTTTCTCTATTCCTCGGGACATGCGGTATGCGATCTGAAAGGATTAATTTTGTTGAATTGATATATTCTGAAGCCAGCAAAAAATAAATTAAATCAATTACCAATCTAAAGCTTACCTTAGCGCCGAATATCTTCTCAATCAAGTTGGCGGTGCGTCCAAGCCAGAGCACGAGAAGAGCGCCGGAATCCAGGACGAAGACTCCGTCGGAGGCGAGCTGTGCCCAGCACACCGGCTCCAGCTGCAGTAGCAGCGGCCGGGCGCCGCGCACACGGTACAGTCGCGCTCCACCGGTCGTCGCACCCGAGCGGAAGATCCTGAAATGTAGTGATTGTTTAATTATAGTTATCCGATTTATTTATTGTCTCTCGGTTGTCAAAAGAGATCATGGTTATTGATTTTTGAAATATTGGTAACCAATATTTCAAAAATCAATTACTATGCATCAATTAGGCTGCTGACCTGATCCCATCCTTGAAGTAGGAGAGCAGTCGCGGTGACTCCCTAGTGGCTGGCTCGCGGTGCAGCACAGCGGGCGCAGGCAGGTGCGCGGCGAGACGCGCGGCGCGAGCCAGCGCGGCCGACCCCAGCTGGCCTGACCGTTCGCTACACCAAGCGTGGATGTGTCGCTCGCTGCATTCGCCGTTCTCTTTTATTTCCCGTCTCTGTATATATATCAAAATATCAGTCTTCTCCGTCTCCAATAGTTAGTAAAATGGGCATAGATTTTGTGAGGGTAACTCACGATGACATCCGGGCCGGCCGGGTGTCCGGGCAGCGAGCACGAGTACACGAGGTAGGCCTCGGCGTCGTAGAATGTTCCGTACTGCGACCGCGGCACCAGCTCCGTGCCCTTCTCCTGCACACGTCGTAAATTATCAAAGAACACATAAAACATATAAACATAACTAGAATTTGTACCCATGAGGGTCAAAATGTAAAGTGCAACTATGTTATTTGATGCATTCACTTTTATAGTTTACAATGTAAACATTACAGATATCAAGGATTATATTTTTACAAGCACTTCGTAATATGTATTGCGTACAAGTATCAAGATTGTTTGATTTGTAAAATCTAGACCAAGTCACTATTGGCAGTGAAACTGATCGGCCTAACGGTTATTTCCAGCCCATATCATTGCGCTTTCTATTTCGCAAAATACAATTAAGCCTAATTTTTCTCGGTATGATTTCTTTTTTCCTCCTTTTGCGTTGCACACGCTATTATTTTTATTAAAGCAATATTAATAGGTTCTTAGTTTATTTGTTTTGTCTTATTTTATAATTATTTGACTACGGTATATTGAAATCATGAAAAAAACAACGCCAAAACTTTATTGTGAAAGTATGTGGCGATGTTAGTAGTAGACGTCAAAAAGGCCTTTTTTGGTTTCGGGGGAAATCCTAACAAAGACACCCTGCTCCTTGACAGCTTTATGTGGGGATTTATCAACAAAAACTCCGTCAGTGGCAATTCTCTAATGCCACTGACGGGGCTCCGGTATGTCAGGTGGAACGCACCGTATGTACATAAAAAAGTCCTACGAACCAGATTGTGATAACGATAAGAATGTCATTCATGACGAATGTATGTTCACTACAGCATTCGTCAAAAAACAGTTTTTCTACGTCATAATTTATATACAATACACAAATCGATTCTAAGTCAGTCATAATCTTCGCGTAATATTCGTGACGACGACATAATGACGTCCAATTAACTGCGTCAGTTATGCATAAAAACTTCACCGATATGTATTAATTTGCGGGGACAAGACAATATAATAGGTGTTCATGCATGAACGCCGATTAGCTCGGGATTCGTCAGATTGTTGGGATTATCCTGATAGCAACACGACATTTGCTGATAGTTCGAACGCTTTCATTATTACTTTGTGTAGCCAACAGTGACGATAATGCCTTTGTCATATAGACTACTACTTATGTATTATAAAATATTATTAAATCACCTCTATGAGTTATAACCAACATTTTCTTTTGAAATATAATTTACTAGCTGTTGCTCGCGACTCCGTCCGCGAGGAATTAAGAAAAAACATTTTAAGTAGCCTATGTGCTCTTCCAGACTACGTTCTATATTTTTGCCAAATTTCAGCGAGATCCATGCAGCCGTTCTGGAAATACTTTCAAACAAACATCCATTAATCCATCCATCTAAACATTCGCATTTATAACATTAGTAAGAAGTAAGATTTTATTTACCTGAAATAACATTAACGAACCATTTCACTTTTAAACGATTTAATGTGCACGTTCAAGTCGAGAATTTTGCCCTTACAGTCTGAATGTGCTTTAGAATTAATTATTGTCATCATACTCAATAAATAAACATATTAAACCAATTAAAGATTACACACATGTACCTCATCATCAGTGTGTTACTGATCTTGACCGTATCTTTTTAATTGATCATAAATAGCTGAGGAATCATCGGCATCGTAGCATGGATAACAGACGGCTGAGCTGTCGGTCTGATTCGATTCCATCACCTCGTTTTATCACTTTTTGTTACCAATTAACGTAGCAAAATAATTGCGCACAATTGCATGTTCCGCTTTTATACACATAACAAAAACGAATCGATTTTCTAAAGTCTCCTATTTTTTATAGCCTCCTATAGTTGTACCGATAACGTCCTTTCTACCAAGATTAGTTCTACGTCAAGCTATTTGTGAATATTGAAGTAACGAACCGAGATATCTCGTCTATTGTCTATATTTTAACTGCTATTAAAATGAGCAGAAAGACATACATACAACTGTAAGTATTATATATATAAGTGTTTCGGATGGTTAAACCACTATTACATATGCTTAAAAGAATCATAATAAAAAACATTTTGAAAACTTTACCCGGCCCTGTCGCGGTTGCCAGCCAACCGAACAGGCGGAGCCGGCGGAGTAACGGTACACGGATGAATCATTCATGACTGCGATACACCGATATCGCAACCATTGTTATTGTTTTGGATTCAGACTAATTCCTATACATAATTTAATAAATTTATTAGTTGTTTTTATCTATAAAATGCATATTCGTTAAATGAAACACCCAATAACATCTAGAGTGAGGTCATGCTTATACAGTGCGACAAAGCTAGTGCCATGTTGGATTTTAAATTAGAATAGTTCATGATGTTAGCTTTTTGGTACATCCACTGTATCTTTGTACAAGCCCTATTTTAGTGTAGTGTGTTATCTTCATATAGTTTATGTCTAACAGTTCAATAGAAGCTGTTTTGATGGTTACGTAGTTGGTAAAAAACTTGATTGCTGCTAATGAACTGTTACACCTGGACTCAGAGAAATTCCTAAGTGGAAATTTAGATTAGTTTATACCAATATAACCATTTAACCAATTTCAGTGCGTGAGTTAGTCAATGTAAGTTACATTCATTAAATATTGAACGTGTTCAATAAAGATTAAAAATGTTCAAAAAGCCTTACCATATTATATCTAACGTAAATTATTACGCTTTTTGTAGAGTGTATTAACACTCTACAAAAAGCTTTTGATGGAAGCACTTGCGATGCTTCGTAAGCCAGGAAGCGCACGAACTTTCTGATTAATTTCAGTAAGTCTCTAGAGGATATGATGCTGCGGAAATGTATGGCTTCTAAGTACATTATTAAATCAGAGTATATTTCGTCTTGTTATGAATACTGTGAAATTACTATCCAAATGTTATTTCATTTTTTTTTAAACTTATGACAGCGTCGTGAAAATTATGTGGCCATTAAGTAATAATTATTCAAAGTACTTCGCACTTTTAAACGTTTATAAGCGATGTCGGCTGTTGATTTGCATGTTTTATGTCAAGTGTAGGAGCGGTCGGCGGAAAACTTTCGGTTTTCCTCACTTTCTACCGATGCGTATCTAACAAGAGTGATGTAGGTATGTTGAGTGTTGATTTAATTAAACATTATCATGTATTAAAATAGCTATAATTAGAATAAAGTACCTTTGTTTGCTTTCTTTTTGTAGCAGAAAAACGCACTGATATTTACTGGTTACTTAACAATCGTTTGGATTTCAGCAAAGGCATCATAAGATCAAAGTAATCGCAATTTTGGTTTATTATAAATAATAAAGAATTAATACAATTTTAACGATATTAAACTAGAGCTTAAGAAAATAGTTAACTTAACGTTAACTAGTGTACAACAAAGACGTAGTCAGGCTCAGTTAGCGGACCGCACTATGCAAGAGTGTGTCACGCCCGTTTGTCGACGCACGCGATGCACTTTCTACTCGCCACACCGAGATAAGCTTTTTAACTAAACATAAGTGCAATAATAATTATTATTATTGTATTTTATATTAATCTTACAACATTGTAACGTAATTAGTCCTTATTGAATACATTTATCAGCCCGCATTCGTGTTACAAAAACACTTTTAAGAAACATTTTTTCACAGAACATTAGGCAAATCGTGATTGTAATTTTCGACAATAGAGTTACAAAAAAATAATAAATTCCACGACCTTTTAAAAGGCGTGAGGATAACGATGTAACGAAACACATTATGTATTGTTCCAATAAATTCACTTCTCACGACAGCGGGTAGTTTTAAAATTGTTTCTCAACAACGTCTTGTTTATTCATCGTGGAAGTTCACTTGGAGACGACCCAGTATTTTACTTGAACACAATACTCACAAGATTCATGAGAATGTATACTGTCATTGTTTACATTGTGTTGTTAAAAAGGAACTTATTTCCTAGGTTATTAATGTTTACAGTACCTAGATAACTTGATACTTTTACAATGTGAAATTCTGTATTCCATTAGGACTTGATTGATGTTTTTAGAATCTTATTAACCTTTGTATATCACAAAAGTATTATGTAACTGTCGCTAGCGACTATGACTAAGCAGAATTTAGAATAAACTAGCCTATATGTTCTTCCAGACTATGTTCTATATCTTTGCCAAAATTCAGCGTGATCCATGCAGCTGTTCTGTTCGCTGTGTTCACATGTATATTAGTAAGATTATTTGATATTATATTGGATAGCTCGATGTAGATTTTTATAATAGATTTACATAAAAATGTGAACGACCTGGTTATTATTACGTCATTAGATGTCTTGTCGTTTGAATCGTGAATTAGATATTATCACAAATTCAAGCAAACAAATTAGTTTGTATATCTAAAACATAAGTGCCTTTGAAAAGTTGACCAAAACATAGCAACCTTGGAGTTAGGATGTAAAGATGAATGATAGTGACTTTCAAAAAAGTCCTACCATTATTTTTATAAATACTATCGAACTTTTTCGTAACCATGAAATTCGGGTTAGGGAGAATCTCCATCAGCGAGAAAAATATTGCTGTCTCTTGGATCTTCTCTTATTCAGGTTCAAGTAATGTAGATACGACTTCACATTACATTCGTGGACTTGAACTGGCCAAACTCAAATACTTTTAGACATTATTAGTTAGAATCCTTTGGCGCGAAAGGCGCGCTTTCGTTACAAAGTCAAGTGTCAGATTGATTTTTTTTATATTGGAGAAGGGAGCAAACGAGCAACGAATCGCCTATAATTATTTGATCCCACGCCCATGGACATCGCGACTGATTATTGAAGGGACATAAACATTGACATTTTAAAAAGGTTATTGTTGCGCCGATACACCGGCACAGTGTCGGATTTTCTTCCTAACAATACAAAGTTCTATCTTAGTTATTTTAGATAATGCCATAGATGTATTTGAATGAATGTTTCGCCAGTGGAAACGAACCTCAATACCCAACAAATACAAAAACGATGAATGAAACTAGATTCAAATTCGGTATTACATGAAGTATATTTATTACGTAACATTACAAAAGATATTCCCTATTCGTAGTTTACTAACGACGTTCTATCGTGATGTGATTGAGACGTGAAAGTGAAATTAGTTTCGTACGAGTAGTGAGTTGACACGCCACAGAGCGACACGAATCTAGAAACTAATCGTTGAATCGTGCGACATCGTGCAGTATGCGGAGTGGTTTACCAGAAACGACAAAGTTCAAATCTAAGAAATACGAATCCTTTTCAGTCTCGAAATAGAAAACAGAGATAACTAAGTTATAATTGTGACTGTTAATTTAAAATGACCTAGTTGACAAATACATATACAACTTACCGTGATTTTCCAGACAAGGAAGGTTGTATGGTCGCGCGGTACCGTCCGGAATACAGCATCGGCGGCGCGCGCTGTGCCTTCGTCATCCTGTCATGACATATTCAATTATAAAAAAATATAAACTAAATACTTAGCACTTGGACAAATGTTTGTAGTTATAATCTAATTTGAAACAGGAGATTGGTTTTTATGTACTGGAGAACAAGTAAAATGTCAGTGTGAACTTAAAGCCGTGTTCTTCATTACGAAGGTACTGGTTTGTCTTATTGGCTGAATGTTTGTACTTTAACTCATTCCATACTGGCAGGAATTAAAAATATATCAGTAATAGTATTTAAAATATAAATAAACATTATGTAGTAACATTGATATTTTAATATATCCACCATTTGACTATTTATCGTATAAAAATTTCTACATATTCTAAAAAAAATTATAATATTTTAGAAAACTTTGACCGACAATATAATTATGATGTCCTTATAATATACATCAAAATATTATTAAAACGAAGTTCGAATTAACCTTCGTAAACAAACAAAACCCATATCTTGCAAATCATTTTGTGGTCATATAAACAGTTAAAGTTACGACCCCATTACAAAGTCTAGGCTTCACAATGCGACTACACCTTAGTTTGGGAGCGGCAAAATAAAGGCCGATTAAACTAGGGAGTTGTCAAATAACCTTGAATAAAGACAATTGTATAAGAAATGTACAAAAAATAGTTATATAATCTGTATTCAAAAACAAAAGGGTAATGCTTAGCGACATATAGAGATAGGCAGAGATTATAGATTTCTATTTGTTATAATTCTGAAAGACATTGCACACGAGTTTGTTGTTTATGGTCTTATTAAAGAGTTATTTAAATCCTAGATCTGTCCCTTAAATGATTTCTTTTTTACATATAACAAATGTACATTTTAAACTTTGTAAGATAATAAAATTACTATTCTTGTATTACTAATCAATAGCAAATGTGTCTGATTGTGATCTAAATAAATTAAAAGTAATCAGGTCGATGTAACGGTAGTCAGTCACAGCTGCGAATAATGCGGAGCAAACGACGTCTTACTTATTATCTCCGATCGCAATACGATCCATCCAAAATATAATATGTATAATGCATACAAGGTAACTTTTATAATATTTGTAACTTTAACTGATGTCAATCAACTAGATATTTGAATATTTAAATGTCATGATGTTACAGTTAGAATAAGTTGTTGTTTATTTGACATGACCTTGGCACACCTTAAATCTTTTTTTTTTAGAAAAAAAAATAGTTTTATTACTGACCATTATTCAGTACTTGTAAATGTAGACTATTCGAAATAAGTTTACTGCATATTAGTTGTAAAGAATAGAAAATGCCTATGTAGTTTACCAAAAGTAGCGCAAGCGCTAGTAAGTCCCTCATTTAAGCCTGATTTATGGTCATACTTGTTTATAGAACTTTCCTTATTTGATAAGGTTTTTATTATGTGCAATTTTAACAACAGCGTTATGCGAACTGAAATTACAATAAAATGCAATTTCTTTTGTACTTTACGTGCCTACCTACTTCTTGTTTTTTATTTAAGTTTGGAGTTTTTTTTTAGTTATTAATAGTTTTTTTTATTTTTTAAAACGTAAAACCTTTGTTTTTGCGCTAATTTTTACTTAATAACCAGCTTAATGATCACAAAAAGTAATGATGAATCAACAAAAAAGAAATATAGAATATTTACTTGATCAGCACCGATCTCTAGGATATGCATTTTCGATTCGTTCGTCTGGAGCGAGGTGCTGGGATCGGCGCGAGCCGTCACCACTGCGTTCAACCGGACCATTCGTTTGCACCGCACTTATTGTTGCGAGACAAAACACGACCACATCGGTCAAGCACTCAGCACAGACTAAACAACTACAAAAACAACGACCGTCGATCGACGGTGAAAAAGAAAATTGTTTCACGCCGACTGCACTTGAGTGTATATTAAAAAAGGTATAATAATGATTCCGCCGCGAAAGTCGCGAGATGTTTCTGCAACGAGATATCTCGGTTTCATCTCTCGGCTCCGACAACTCCGAATTGTGCGACCATTAATTATCGGTTACTTAGCAATAAATAACTAATATTTATCACTTAGATTATTATTTACTAACATTTCAGTCGTTAACAGTTATATTATTATAAAATTGACGATGAATATGTAATAAAGTTAATTACATAAACATAAGTTAAGCAAACGCCGAATTCGAATTATAAAATTTGTATCATCACTTTTGAAAATCGAATAGCCATTTGAGCTACAGTAGTAGTAATGGAATGGACAACACTCGAATATATTGGAATCAAACCTACATTTAAGTTATAATATTTGGTACACATTTTAGCATAATCAATCTATCAACATAAACATTAAGTTCCTGTTGCCTTTGAAACCATAACAGGGTTTGCACAGTCAAAACATGTTGTTAATATATTTTCTTGTTGTCTCTGTAAATTACTGAATTTACAAACAATTTATAAAAGATATTTTACATTTCTAAAAATTTGTGGCAATAATATTGTTATACGAAACTAAAATCCACAACCAGTACAATATTTTATGTAAACAATTTAATAACATGTGTGAATCAGATTAAAATATGTTAATTCATACCTGATAATCATCCATATATGTTAATTATACTCTCTCTGCTATGGAATCACGATCAGGATCTTATAGCACTGATAACTAAGTAGTCAGAGCTAAGAAACTAAGAGCTGGGAAATTTTAGCTGAATAACTGAAACTAGTATCTCTTTGCCGAGTAACTAAACGGTACTGTTCTGGTCACATAAAAGGTGGATACAGACTGAACTCACTTGCATCGGTTTTGCTAGTCACGGGATTCACGCTCCGACGCGCCCTTTGTCTCCTTTACCGCGACCGCATTTTCGACATAGATATGGTGATTAGAACATTAGCACAAACCATATGCATAATATGGACTATCTAGAGATGACTTAGCTCCTGTACTTCCCATAACTTTGGTTGATGTGTTGCAGGATCTTAATTTCAAACATAACGTAACAAACAAGCAAGCGGCCGAAACTGCTTCCCATAAGTATCCGCAATTGCAGACGAAACGTGGAATTACTTCTACTTCACGTCTGTGTAGTGAAGTCGTGGTATTGCACCGGGCGAGACGGCCCATTCATTCCATATAACATGCTGCAGTCTACCACTGCCAAATAAAAAACAGGCAGGATTCAAAAAACATTGTCAAACTAGAGATAACCAATTTATAATTAGGAGCTTTCTGGATAACAGAATGCTCGATTCGGTGCAGTAAATTCAATAGAAATCATTTGTTCAATTTATTTTTGTCCTCTTCAAATTATTGTTCAATTAAACTGTGTCAGTAAACATTTGTGACGGTAGTTCTATTGTAGTATTTAAGTATTGTTGGTCAAGGTCACAAAGATTTTGTATGAAAAACTCTAGACCAACCTATAGCTTAGCGGTTAATTGGCTGCTACGATATAGGGAAGTTTGCGGTTCGATTCAGCAAATTTTCGACTACAATAAACCTTATTATACCACCGTGTCCAAGAGATACCTAATCAGAAGAAAAATAAGGGCGTCAGAAAACCAGGAACAAATGACGGCAGTTGTCAAATGTCATAAAATTATTGTTTTGAATTTGGTTTAAATTATTTTTGCAAGTGATTATGTTTACAGAAGACAATTCTGATAAAGAAAGTGAATATGAGGAGAGAAATCTTGAAGAATGTACGAATATAACGAAGAAATCATTGTCGACAGTCGGCTTTAGGAGTAATGCGGACAACCAGAATGCAAGACCGTTGACGCTTCGAGCGACGCAATCGTTCACAGGGGCCGTGGAGGAGTTTAAGTTATGTGGCAACTTCCAAAGGATAAACTTGTGCAATAGGATGAACGTGGTGCCTTCGCAGAAGATCGCGCCGGTATGTCCGTGCGGTTGTCTACTGCGGCCCTGCGTCCCCGGACCATTCCGGACGCGGGAGCAAACAACACTAGCACTCTACGTCGTCTCCCCCGACGTCCTTAACTACCACGGCTACAACTTCGAAGCTAACCAAATAGCTTTATTCTGGAAGAAAGACTGCAGAACCTTTTTATGGAAAGGAAAAGCTAAAAAGAAAAATTACATCCACGTAGAATCCCATAGATAAAATTTTCTGTTATTTATCAGGTGTAAATAAATTTAAAAAATAATAATGTATAATTTTATTCATCTTAAATGCAACATAATTTAAAAATAATTTCTAATATTTGCAATGACTATATTTTACTGAACAGTTTGTACTGTATCTAATGGTTGCTTCTCTACACCGGGCATAGAAGCTTCTGCAACTTCTCCGCATGAAAATCTAACATAATCTATGACTTCCACATTATTTTGTTGCAAAACCTCGTCTACTGTAAACGAGGGGTCCAGTAAATACTCTTGGTATATCAGACATGTTTCATCATCAGAGTTCTTGGCTGGTTTATCCGCTTCTTTATCACCAATCTTTGTTGGTGCGCAACCTACAATATGTTGGCAGAGTTGTTTGCCAATATCTTCATGATCATTGGCCTGTCTATATGCTAGCAAAGCTCCATATTTCCCTGCAGAATAATCACCAAGGACTGATGGTGCAGGATGAGTGTAGCCAGCGATTTTGACATCACTATTATTGGCTTTCCAGCACTCAGCTCTCCTCAATACTGCATTCTCGCCAACTGAGCCAATAAACAATGCCAATATTTCCGAAAGCTTCTTCCCTCCTTCAGCTGCTAAATTTCCCAGTTGCTCGCTGTCCAACTCCATCTAAAACATGGAAAGTGATTTTGCATTTATATCCATTTTAGACTCTTTAAAACTCACTTTGGTTCGCTGCACTACAGATAGTAATATAATAAAGGTAAATTAAAAAAAAAATACCTTTGTGACAGGTCCCTTTGACTGCATATTAGTGTGAGCAAACTTGAAACAAGCCATTGTTGCATCTTCAATCATCTTCTGAAACTTATCATTCTTAGCAACAAAGTCTGTTTCACAGTTGAGCTCAACAAGAGCACCATGGTTCTTGTCAAACTTTACAGCAACTAATCCTTGTAGGGCAGAGCGGCCTGCTAATTTTGTAGCCTTCGCCCAGCCCATTGCTTGAGCTTGTTCATTAAGCCATGTTTCTGCCTGGAAATTGTTTACAGTGTAATCATAAAACTACTAGCTATTGTCTGTGACATGGTCTTCAAAATGCAATAAAAAAAATGAAACTATGAAGGCTATGTATTTCTCAAATCTAATCAACCGTTCCAGAGTTATATTGTAAAAACATCTATAATTCCATCCATCCAAACTTTTGCATTAATAATGTTTGTATACTTAACACACCTACAGAATTTCTCAGATATCTTTGACAATATTTGAAATTCTGCAAATTGTTATCAGATTAATCTATTAAAGCATTTCGAAATATATTTCTAAATATTTACAGTACCTTGTCAGTATCATTGTTATGCATTTCAAGGGCCTTTTTGCAGTTAGCAATGGTATAACCGGTTTTCTTTCTTAATTTGGCTAGAAGAGAGGACTCAGCAGCACGGCAGATAGGACCTGTGTGTAGGCTCCTCACCAACTGGAAAATCATCTGAAATTAATTTTATTTGTTATGTTACTTAATTACTTAATAGGAATACAGTTCTATATTATTTTTATGCTTTAGTTTGCTCAGTAAATGTTTTAGTATTTAATGAATCTCACACAATGATCTGTCTGTTATTATAAAGCATAATTAAGATGTAACACACAATTTAAAACACAGATTTGCTTAAACTGTACAACTCAATTCATAGCAGAGTATGACATCATAAGCTAGACCTATTAAATATTTTCAAGGCCAATCCAACCATGTTTGCACAATGGTGTTTACTGTTTAGTCGCTAGCTAAATTTAATGCTGTATTCATGCATGTAGCTAATGCTTAACTTTATAAAGTTACCTTTGAGTAACATTTAACTTTTTGTTTCATCTGTAAAATTATCAAATTAAGGTTAAACTAAAACAACGTACTGTGCCATTACAGTGCCAGATTTTTTGATTCAAGAGGTTTTATTGGAACACCATTTAAAAATTAAAAAGAAAAAATATTGTTTATTGGTTGCCAACAGTTTTCAGAATATCATTGTTAAGTCACCATGGATACTTCAACAATTGATTTCTTATATAATTCGCTTCATTTACTTAGCGTGAGAGTAGCTTTAATATTACTAACAATTAGTTACTTTTTGTTTTTTATGTAGAAATATATTTTACTATATAATTAATAAAATATAGAACGTAATATCTAAGGTCATCGTATTATTTCATTGTCTAATAAAACTGGTAAGTTTATATAATACTTACTTTATTTAACTGCTTATAAGGCTTTTTTTATATTATTTTAATAATATATTTCCAATGAATATAGAAATGTATAATATTAAAGTAAGGTTATGACTATTATTTTAGCTGTCAATGTCAAATAAAAGTCACCACTTTGACGGAAGCGTTTGCGTTTACAAACGATTAATTCGTCGCCTTAAAGTTCGATTTACTAAAAAATATTACTACTTTATTATTTACTTTTATATATAATCTTAGAATCTTATTACTCGATTTGTTTTAAACCATGCTTAATACCAGGATGCTCGAGCCCATCCCAATATTAAATTACTAAGCTGCCCAAATCCTCTTGGATAAGACCTGGATTCGCCACATATAAAGTTACATAATTACAGCTCACAATGCAAAGTCGAAAACAAAAACGGACTAAGGAACTATCCAAAGCATCGTCATCCGAAATCAAACTACCGAAAATACCTAAAGCAACAATGCCTGAAGATTTCAAAATAAGAACACGTCCTCTTTTTTCACTACCAGAAGAAATCCTTAAATTACCACCACCGCCTAAAACGTCTAAAGTTCGATCTAAAGCAACAACGGCACCTCGAAAAAGATCTAGCGGTAATTATATTTTTGTGAGATATTTGATTGTATTAGCATTAAATGCCATCTCTATGATACTGATTACTGAGTCCTCAAGTCTTTTTCTATCCAGCAGAAAACCGAAACATTTTGTGGCTTATCGTCATTTTAAAAAGAATCAGTTGCAAAAATTTGTAAATAAAACTTTTTGGTGTATTTTTTTTTACTAAAGAAATTTTTTTCTTGAATTCAGTTATGCAAAGCTTTACAGCGATGAGGAAGGCCAGAGAAGAGTTCCGTGCTAAACTAATGAAGCTCATTTGTCAGTCCGCCCCCGGGGAGGACAGCGACGCCATTCCTTCCGGGGACGAGAAGAATATGCTTCGTTACTATTACTATATACGTTACGGTATAGACACGATTCACGTTGCTCCATTGGATAATAAAATTATATTACGGTAAAGATTAAAAAAAAATCTTACTATAAATTCAACTCGGAAATTCAAAAGTTAATTTTTGACTAGTAGTTGAAACTTTTACTTGAATAATCGAAATGGTTAGATAATGCGCCATTAGCCTAAAGGTTTAGGATAGGTTTGGGTTACAGTACACACGGTCGTGGGTTCTTATTTACCATACGACTGTCAATTGAAGTCATTTAATCGCATGCCATTGGAGTCAAACCCTGTGCATATTTTGAATCTATATTATTAAACGTTGGATAGTAATATCATTATATTAATTGCAGAGTGCATAGCCTGATACCTTTAAAATTAAAAAAGTGGAAGGAAACTTTGTTTACCAGTACAGATGAAATGAGAGAAGATTTCATGATGAGTATGAAAAAGGCGATCGTTGATTTTGTACTCAAAGATCCTAGCACGGTAAATACATATTTGTTCATTATTTGAGAATGCTTCCCAGCAACTCATAATAGTAAGTGTTAGGTTAGCTTTTTTGGCGGCAAATGTTTAAATTGTCATAACTATTAAATTAATATCATAGGAAGAATCGTTGCAAGAAGAAGAAACGCCGTTGATGCAAGAATTGGCTAAAAAAGATGACGCCTGGAGAAATAGATACATCTTAGCACAAAAATATAATACGAAAAATTTGCACACTGTAAATCCGTGTATAGCACAAGTGCTACAAATATGGTGGAAACAATTCAAGTAAGTATAAAGGTGACCAAAGAAAGGAATGCCTTAGTGGATTAAACAAGACTAAACGAATGACAGGAGATCGAAAAGAGACATGCGACTCCGTGCGTGTGGAATTGGAAAAACTTAATTAGCAGCATATGCGTTCTTCCAGGCTATGTTCTACATCTATGCTAAATTTTCGCAAGATCCATGCAGCCGTTCTGGAGATACCTTCAAACAACCATCCATCCATCGATCCATCCATCTAAATAAGATGTAGGTAGATAGTCTGAAAGAACGCATAGGACTGATTCGCAAATAAAAGCTAGTTTTGTAGATAAGGTTAGATCGTTACAGTTATGTTCGTAGTATTAGTATTGTACCTATTCGTACATTCTAGTGACCTCCGACTGATCAGCATGAGGGATATAATGATGACGCACGAGGCGTACGAGCTGCAGGACTTCAGTTTCGTGTGCAAGCGGCACATTGACGCGGCGGGCAACGTACTCACGCTGCAGTGGATACCTACCGTACAGGCTGTCTTCCTACAGGTGGAATGATGACTTTCATAAGCACTGTATGCCATTAAAACAAAAAAAAAATTACAGCTATTTAGCTACTGGACAGTCGTTCAGTACTGTCTCAATAATATGCACGATGTATGAAATAAATACTAATACTAAAAAAATGCGGTGCACAAAATTGTGGTTTGTTAACCGTGGGACGTTTAAGGGTAAAAATTGGTCTGTTTTTCTAGATGTTTTTGTTTTTTTTTTCAATAGTTTTACAATTTGTTTGTAGGGAAGCAAGAAGAAACAGATACCAGATGTAAAGCAAGCGGCGAGGGTGAAGCGATTTTACAACTGTCTCGCCTCCATTATGACATTCAATTTGCAAACGTTGTGTTTGAAATCAATGAAAGAGTACACCGATTACATTATGGACGTTGGGGTAAATTATACATTTTTGGTCAACTTTAAACGATAGTCAATAATACTAAAACTTAGATTATTGAATCGGGATTTATTTATTGTGTTGAATTATTATAAAATTTCGCGGTTTAAAATATTGTTTTAATTGTTTTAGGGGATGAACCAAGGTTTCATAATCAATCTGTCTTTCCAAAACGAGGCAATCGGTTTCGAGCCATCATTTAAACAGTTTCGTGAACAGCTGTGCCTTTTGTATGACTTTTTGATCGACGCCTGTCGACAGACACCTCGCCTGGAGACTATTTTGTATCAGGATTTTGATGTTACGTCACGTTCAACATTAAAAGTAATCATGAACTTTATTAGTAACAATTTCTGTAACTTAACATGCGGTTTAACGCTTGATTAAATGTAATAACCTGTTAACAGTTGACAAAGTTTAATTAGCTAACCTAGACATGAAAATATATTTAAATAACTTTCATTTCAGCCAATAATAGACAGTGAGTTAGTTGACAAGTACAAAAAAAGTATTGCCGACTTGATTGACGAGCAACGGATCGGACCAGAGCTGAGGATCCAAGACTTTGATAATTACGTTTGCCTATTAAACGGGGAGGTAATTTACATAATAACTATTTTCGATTATTTATATAAAAAAAGAATAATTTTTGAATTGAGCCATTATAATGACAAAAGGCTCATTACATATTTCACATGTTCCTGATTTTTTCACTTTTTATTTAATTTTAATCTTTTATTTCCGTGCCAGTCCCTTGATGAGGTTGAAGCTTTTATCTACGCTGACCCGGAGAAGACATTCGAAGAATTCTGTGCGGAGTCCATCAAGTACGTGGAGCTGGCACGAGAGATACCGTCCAAGCTGGAGGGCACGATCGTTATCGGCATGTTCATGATGCAGCGAGGAGACCTAATCAACTCGTTGCGCGGCGCCGCCACCAGGCTCGCCAACATGGTGCTGAGGAAGATGACCGATGATTACCAGACCATGGTCAAAATGTACGTTATGTTAATAATGACTGCTGGAACTAACAAGTCCAAGTCAGATAATACTACAGTGGCGATGAAAGCCATTTGTATTATAATAAATTTATCAGATCTTCATCTGCTTCTAAACAATTTAAATAAAGTAAAGTACAAAATATCACAACTTAGTTGAGTTTCTTTACATTTAGCATCTATGACGAATATTCTCACATCGCCAACACTCTGCTGACGCCGCCACCAGACACGGCCGCGTTGATGGACCTCATCGCGTACTACAAGAAGGTTGAGGAGACGGTGCTCGACGAGATGGAGGACAAACTGCGCAATGTCATGAAGTACATCATCTTTCTCGGCGACTACACTTCTTTTACACCGCTAGAGGTCAAGGCTAACAACCAGACATTTCATTGGTAATATTATGAAGTCAATATGATGGAAATGAGAAAGGTTGTAATGGATCTTGATGAGGTTGAATGAGGATGAGGATACTTTTTTTAAATTCTTCATTCTAACTTTTGACTGACTAGTATAAGAAGTATTACGTTAGTTTATTTTTTTATTTTATATAAGTAAAATTAATTTGTTTTTTTTTACGAAAATTTAGGTACGCTCGTATGCCTAATGTTATAGAAGAGAGCAAGGCAATTTGCGATCAAAAGAAAATCGAGTATCAGGACCTTTTGAAGGTAGGTTTTGGTGTGAGGAGAGAACTTACTCATGGGACCGTAATATGCTCCCTAACCTTAGAAACCGAAATAAATATAAATAAAATCATCAGGTTCGGATTGCAAAATTTATCGAAGACCTGGACATGTATGAACTGCAGTGTAACGAGGTACAGTACTGGGGCGATATTAATGAACTGCCCAAATATGTATCCCGCGCCCGACATCTTGATGAAAAGTAAGTAAATGTCTCATTAAATTATAGATTTATTGCGGAATATAAAAGCTAGAATAGTAACAACTAAATTCGAAAAGACAAGACCACACTAACGTAGTGGATTTACCAATAAATTTCCCTCTACCACAAAGTGCAATTTATTCGAGCATTGTACCACGCCTTTATGGAATATCGTGGAAAATACATCACGGTTTTAAACTGAATTCTGTGTTCATATTCGGAAAAGGATTTTTCCAACCGAATCAGAATTCTGATTACTTTTTGAATATAGTATTTTGTAAATATAAAGTAATTTATGAATTTTTATACTTTTGTGTTATATTCCAGGTTGTCTAATGCCTTGGTTAAAATAGATCAATTTAATGAAGAAGAAACTTCCTTCGGATGGGAGTTGTCGCAATACCCAAAGAGAAAAGCCGTCTACGATCGATTGGTTCCTTTTAAGAAATTATTCGACGCGGGATACGATTTTCTTCAGAAACATTCCAATTGGATGCAGTCCAAGGTATTTTCAATAATTTCATGTATCAGTTAAACAAAATTTGAATAAAAAATATGCTGT